GCCCTTCCCACCGTATGTTTAGGTTTTGCTTTTGTCTCATTTGTGAGGGGCATTTCGGTTTCTTCCTCACGTGTCTCAGCCAAATGTCAGCGTGGCGTGCTTTTGTTTTGATTTTTAACGGGTGGAAGGATCCACTCATGAGTTTGGTCTTTTCCTTATTTACCCTTGGTTAGACTTGTATAGTCGTAATATAAATGCAGTCTTTTCAGTTTTTATGAGATCAGAAGTGTCTCTAGCAGCTTCCACAAAAGGCTTTTAGGACTATTACTAATACAATAGAAAATGATTTTTCTGCAGTATCTATTTAGTACTCTAGCTTATTTCCTAGCTGCACACAGCTCTATAGACATCTCTTCTGACTTAATCCATCACTACTTTTTTAATGTTGGAGGTGCTCTGCCGGTACCGGCACGTCTGGAACATGGATCTGCGCTTTCGTCCAGCTTTCCTTGGTGGCATAATGCAAGCAACTGGTAGGCAATACGGGGAGATTAGCTCTGTAGGGAAGTACCTTCTTCATGAGTACAACACTAGTGGATAAGCGCTTAGTGAGGGCAGATTCTACAGAGACAGCTTTAAACTGAGTTTTGGCACCAATAACTAAATATAGAATTGCAGAGCTCAGTAGTGACTGAGAAATCAGCCACAAGGAATTTCATACTGTTGCAACTACACAGTCACTGTTTGTGGCACATACAGTACGTGACAGAGTTCATCAGTTCTAAAACAGGGTAATAATAATTTGGTATGGAATGTTTTCCTAAAAGTTTTCTATTGAGTTCAAACCAGAATTAGTTTGTGGAACACTTACAGTTTGTAATATGCATGAAGGATCCAAGTATGACCTAAAATGGTACACATGGCCTTATTAGAACAAATTAATCACTGACACTTACAAATCAGAAAATTAACAAGTTTCTACATTTGTTTACCTGTGCATTAATAGTTGTTTAGCTTAAAAGTCATCTGTAAATCCCTGCTAGAGCATTTTTACCTTGGTTTAAAACTGATTTTGCTAACTTAAAGGGTTGATCTGTGCAAAATGAAACTAAATCACATTTAAATCTTAGCATTATCTTTGGAAAAGCTGTGTATGTTTCAGTAAGCCAATATGAAATTATACTCTTCCTTAGGCACATGGATGCATGAGGTCTAATTTGTCCAGTTTTGGCTTTGTCCAGAAAAATCTCAACAGAATTTTTTTCCTGAAAGGTAACAAACCTCCAGGAATGTTGCCAAAGCGTGGAGAATACCTGCTGGAGGATATAAAAAGGATGGGAAAATACTACCAAGTGCCTGTACAAATTTTAGGAGATGACTTCCAACGTGTCCTTGGTATAGGTAAGTTAGAGACTTAGCTATCTTTCAACTCTAGCACTTCTGGTTCAAGTTCTCCCTAACAGTAAAGATGAATTCCTTGTCCACAGCCTCTTCCTGTATCTGTGAGCAGTATGGTGTTTGTACATTTTTAACCATAAATTTATGGAGAAATATGGTTATGAATGATATTAGCATGGAAGATACTGTGAAACAACATAACCTTTGCTGTCTGGGGACTGTTACAGAGAAGATTGTAACTGTTCTTGGGTAGCAGTTGTGCAGACCATATCTGTTCCTGATCTTGTGCCTTCAGTATGTTTCTTTGTCTTCCCACTAATCCCAGGCAGTCTTGGGGCCATGCGCTTTATCACAGCCATTGATATGACACAACCACAATATGTGGAACCCTTATCTAGGGAGTTCTGGCTACGTTTCTGGTCGCAGGTCAGTATTTTATGAAGCCAACTTCTTGATCCATTCTCTGTCACCCTTCCCATCCCACTTTGTTCAAATGTGGATTTTGAGTAAGAGAAAGGAAATGTCTTGTAATGAAAAGTCAGGAAACTTGAGGTCATAGTGGTTCAGGAGCTACCACAAGAAAAGAACTTGCTGTGAAGTCAGCTTAATTTGCGTTCCTATTGGTTGAGTGCATCAGTAGTTCACATCAGAAAGCACTCAATACATTCCTAGATTTGGTGACTTAAAACCTTTTCTGAGGAAGTTTCTCCAGCAACTGGTATTGGTTTTACTTCTATTTTCTTCAAAAACTTGCTTTCAAGTCCAGAGCTAAGCTTTTGTTCTTAAGTACTGAATTACGTGTTTTATTCTTTTACCAGCATGAAGATATCAGTCAGCCAGCAAATATATTGGCTGTAAGTGTCTCCTTTTTGTTGGTGCTTCTGTGTTTCAGGTACAGATTCTTACTGATGCTTGGATCAGTAATAGGCATGAAGACAGCTTAATCAAATGATCACTTGGGAGTTTTGAAAAATTTCAGCTAGAAAAAAGTGGATTTAATATCCTAGCAGTTCTGTTTGGAATGACTGGGTGGGGGGTCAGGCTTTGAATGACACACAGAACCACTGCTTCGTGGTCTATGAGCATCCCCCTATGTTCAGCAAGGCATGAACAAGGTAAGCATCTTGTTTGCTCATGTCTGTCTCCATGGCTGCTGCCCCTGCAGCAAGTACTAGACTTTGGTTCTGGAAATACGCCATTCAAAGGTGGGTGAGGCATCCCAACCCTTTCATCCAAATCTTTAGAAGTGAATTTATTTTACACATCCGTTAGAAAAATGTAACGTTTATTTATACCATATTTATATATGGTGTATTTATAAACCGTATTTATATGGTTCCTCAGTAATTTTTCACTTCCTTATTTAGTCAGCAGTAACTTCACAGAATTAGTCTTTGAATCCTGCCTCAATCCACTTAATACCCCTTCAGCCCTAAAATGGTGAGAACCAGATACTACGTCTCTTTGTAAATGTTGCAGTCTAAACACCGGGGCTGCCAAACGTACCCAGTAATTTGTTCTGTTCCAGTGCTACGCTTGTTTATTTCCTGTAATTTTGAAGTTACTTGATAAACACTGAACCTTCACCTTTCACCATTTTATCTCATTCCTGTGTGGCAGAGACACAGAGGAGGTTAAAAAGATGCAGCAGTAACACTAGCAACTGTTTAACCTCTATGAGTTACTGTCTTTTTTCATGCAGTATCACGTACAGAGCCTGTGCGGCCATAAATTTTGTCTTGGCAGGCTTGTACAGTAAGATATTCAGAAGAACAGTGTTTTTTTAATTATCTGATAAGTTATCATCAGATCAGAGGTTAAACTTTTTTTTCCTGTTAAGTAACTCCTGAAAGTGCAGCTTTGGGTTTGGAAGTTTAGAATAGTCCTTTTGCTTTCTATGCATCTAAGAGTTCATCAATGATGACTGGGTTGGGAACACAGCAAGACAGTTGTGCAGGAAGTACTTCAAGGGTATTTTGTCATTTTTCTGGTAATAGACCTTGGGTGACAGTACTGAAGATTAAACTAATCAGACCATAGTAGGAGTTGGAATATTTAGTATGAGAGTACTCTTAATTCTGTCATGTTTTCTCAGGCTGCCAGACAGGCTGGGCTATCTTCAGAGCTTGCCCAGAAAATACTTGAAATGATTTCATCCCCTGCAGTGAAGAACCGACTGAGAGAGACAACAGATGAAGCAATAAAATATGGGGTGAGATGCTTCCAATGCCAATTGGCATCACAGCTGTGCATTCCTTTCCTATTAAGAATACTGGGAAGCGAGGAACAGTGAAGGTGATGATTAGAAAGCAGTATATGGACCATCTCCCTTAAGGTCTTTGCTTTTTTTTGTACATGCGAAAGCTAACTCACTGGTGTTGGTAGTTTTTCTCATCTGCAAAACCAAGGTTAAGCCATCCAGCTCATTCCAGCTGGACAGCAAGGATGGGGAGCTACAGGACCAGTACTAGGAGATACCATTTATTGCTACTTGACATAAAACTGTGGATTTATGAGGCTGAAGTATTTTGATGGTGGTTGGTTTTTTTGCTCCTTCAAAAGGGGCACACAGGCTCTGGAGAGTCGTCTTCTTTCTGATGGCTCCAATTAGGCTCATCTTTAAGAATGAAGAAGGTGAAAAGGGGAGGAAAAAAGTCAAAGTCACTGCTTTTTATTCCAGAGGCTCGATGATGTGTCTGCAAAAGTTTCTGTCAGTATAACATTTTCTGTTTCATCTCTATGGCGTGATTAGGCATTTGGGATGCCTGCTGTTGTGGCACATTTTAATGGGAAACCTCATCTCTTTTTTGGCTGTGATCGTTTAGAGCTGCTAGGCAGCATTATAGGTGAGTGTACCTAATAACAGCAGTTTGGGTTTAATGCTTTCACCCTCTTTTTGTGAAATATGTAATACAGCTAAACTAAATCCTCTTAAGGTCTTTCAAATATTAAATAATGTTGGGTGTCTTTCTCATGGGATGAAACTGCTGATTGGAATGTACCTCAGTACAGTTAAGAGTGACCAAAGATGTAGGTCTTTTCCAAACAAGAAGTAACTCAAGTCCTCCATCCTCTCTCTGTGTGTTTCAAGACTTTGTGCTTCACATGCCATTCTCAAATTACTACCAAAACTCTTTAGTTTTAAGATGTTCATATTTAACCTTTCAGTACTGGGCTAAGATTAAGACTATGGCTGATACTTAATGTTCCTTCTTTATAGAAGTACATTATCACAGCTTCCAGGTCTGTAACTTGTAATTACATAACCACAACTTTTTAACAGATATTCCTATATTGACCTTCTTTCTTTTCTTTTTTCTATTAAGAGAATGCAAACTTTGGGTTTTTAAAGATAACTGGAATAGGTTGTGATTAATAAAACTCAGTCACCTGCTTTTACATGAGTTAGAGTACATTTGACTTTTGATCTCAAATTTTGGCACTTGAAAGGGTTTGTCACTAGAAAGAGTTATGCATATAAATTAGCTGTGATGCATTTGTTTTAAGTCATAGGCTTAAACAGAAGGGAATTTTTTTGGTTTGTTTTCTGGATTGGTTTCTGATCCTATAAAAATACTCTAGTTGAAAAGGAGAGTGAGGAAGATGAATACCCAACACCCTCTACCCACTAATCCTAATTGGAATGTTATGGCCTGGTATCTAGCCTCAACTCCAAGGATTTCAACAGAGTTTCCTTTTGTTTCTCTGACTCCCCAGCCTTCCACCCTTATTCTCTTCCTTACCCCAGCCCCTCAAAACAGGAGTCCTTCATGTGGAGTGCCCCAGACCTGCAAAATTTGTGTGACAGAGGAAAATAATTCTTCTGTACAGCTTCAGTTGTGACTAGACAGTGACAGATGTATGGAGCTGGCTGAAGCGTGCCAGACAGGATACAAACCTGAATTTCAGCAGCAGTAGATACCCTTCAGAAGAGAAGTAGGAACAGTCATCCTAGTGCAGAAATGTGACTGATCAATCACTTAACATGTATTTAACTTTCTCTTTTGTGCCGGTTTGTCTTGCAGGTGAAAAATGGCTGGGACCAGTTCCAAGCCCAAAGCTGTGAAAAGTCCTGGGGAAATCTATAAGATTAAAAATATGTATGTGCATGGTCAATCCTCAGTGATTACATGAACATAGCCAATTTTATGGAGAGATGGCTTTCTCATCCTCAACAGCTAACTTTACAGCTCATTCTCTTCTCTAATTATGCTGAATTTCAAGGCTTGCCAGTTTTGCCAGTCTGGTGAGGTCTTTGCTAATAAAAATGTGCTTATTTTCTTTCAATAGCTTAACAATTAACATTAAAGTTAAATATTTAAACTTCTTGGAGAGTAAGTGTTTTTCTTTCCTGATCAGGTCTTTTTCTCTTACGCAAAAAGCATGAGGATTATATTGTTACGGGACCGTGATCTCTGGATTTCACATATCTTCCTGCTTGTCCTTTATAAACACACATACATACAGCTTAAGAGAAGTTGGCCACATTCTCCTTTTATTTTAAGTCCAAGGTACCACATAGACACTAGAAGCACAGGATAAGGTATTCACACTTGCCTTTTACTCTGCAGCATGGCAGTTAAGGAGACACAAGAGAGAGAGTGGAAGCCAGAGGGACAATTCAAGCCCAAAGAAAAATCTAGGGAACCAGTCAGAAGGAACTGTACCCCTCCTGGACTGTATTTTATACACCTTGCTCTGTGGTCCCTGACATTTGAGAAGACCCATCATACAAATGCTTTCTTGGGAACCACCCCTAGATCCTGCAGGGTTTTAAATTAATGCTATTTTTGCAGTAATGTCTTTGGAGGACAGTGGTAAATACCATGTGAATTTAGCTGGTAACTGAACCAGGCTGTGTTTTGCTTCCCCAAGGGTGGTCTAATTGCTGTCTATCCAAAGGTGGTTTGGATATGGCTATATATGACTTCCCATCATAGACTGTGCGGAAAGATAGGCAACCAATAAAATTCAAGAAATTTCACACTGAAATAGCTTGAACCTGGCCCTATATTGGCCAAATTAGAATAACACATTTGAATATTGATTTCTCAGTGATTCCTGGCTGTCTTTGACACACCACTGAAGGAAGCAGAAGAACTAGTAGCAGCTGGAATTCCATTTTTTTGTTGCTTTCTGAAATTTAAGTAAAGCGTATTCATATTTGTTCACTTAAACAGCAAAGCTTGGAACAAAGCATCAGAAAAAAGAAATCTGTACCCTTTGTGTTCTTACACCTGTAAGTGTTGTAGTAGTATCATTTGTTCCCCCATCCACAATTTTTCCTTCTTGCACATGTTTCAGCTCTTCAGGAAATACACTATCATTTGAGAACTCCTTCCTCCTCTCCACCAATGCAACCATTAGTCTTTGGGCAAATCCTGCCTGGAATTCAAGGAGATGTTTGTGAGATACGAGAGGTTACATTCCTTTAGGAATTAGAATGATAAGGAAGTTACGTAGGTGGATGTCACAGGTTTCTCTGAGTCCCTTGAAGCCACATTAAAGAAATTTACCATTTCCCCCCTTGAAATTTGGTAGTCTCCAACCTATGCTATCAAACTGATTCTGAGGTTGTGATAAAAATGGAAGGACAGAAACATTACTTTAGGCCAAATCACCGTGTTGGCCGGGGGCCACTGCCAGAAGCAATTGCCTGCCCCACTAATGCTAGGCTGAAAGCAAATAAGCACAGAATAGGCAGAAGAGTCACATAAATGAGCAAAAGAAAGAGGTTCAGTAAAATAACGAAACCACAGGAAGCAGAAGGTAAGTGCAAAGAAAGCTAGACTGCATCTGAGCAAAGGAAAGCAAACAATGAAAGAAGAGGAGAGATTAAGGCAGAGAGAGGAGTCTCAATGCAAAATGCTGTTCTCCGACAGGGAGCAGGCAACTGAGAAAGGCAGAACTTAGGTGGATTAAACAGGCCAGAGTTAGCTGGCCAGGGAAGATCCTCTGGGGAAGGAGGTTTTCTGTGAAGCTGCACAGTACTTGCTGCACTCTTGCTGTGAGGTCAGAGGCAGCCCAGGGGCCTGCCTCCATGCTGAACCATGGGCTTACAGCACTTCTCCATGTCTATTACCTGTGCTCCTCACCCAGTGTGCACCAACACAGTCCTCCAACAGCGACCTCACACGCAGCACAAAATGGAAGCCTGCAGAACAAGGCAGTTCTTTAACCTTCCTCTGCAATCATCATCTTGTCCTTTGAACCCTCAGCAAAGCAAAGCCTAAATTAGGTTTCTCTCCTTTCTCCCATCCTTACCTCTGTGCAAGTGAGAAGGAAACATTTCATTAGAGCACTTACTGGATTATGGTGCTGAGCATCTCCTTTGCTGTCTCTTCCTTTCACAGTGGAGCCAGCAACACTGCTGGAAGGAAGCAACCTGCTTCCTAGAACGGAAGCAAGCACAGAACAATAAAGAAATAATCAAGAGAGTATCCAGGAGGTGTACACATAGTTAGTTTTACCAAAACTTTCCACAGATCTGTGGCTCATCCACAGGTAAGAGTGAAAGGAATGTATCTATACCTAACTTGACTAATGCTACCTTGACCTACTTCTCATTCCAGCTTGCAACACAAGGAAAATGACTACTTGGCTTTCATATTATTAAAATAAAATAGAAATCATTGGCCACTGGTTTGAGGTTGTGTTTCAGTGCCATAGATGTTCTGGCTGTAGCTTCTTGCCTAAATAAGCTATATCTAATGAGTAATGAAGGCATTCTCCACCTCCCAGATGTTTCCATCAGACCCTGTTTTCAATTTCTGTAACACAAAACATAGTTTACAATAACACAGCAGGTTCCAGTAGGTGACAGCCTCATGCAGTCAAGCTAAGAAATGCCAATGAATACATCTGTGCCCTTATCCTTAAGAATACACTTCATGAAGCAGAGTCTAATCTCTCAGTGTTTCTCTTCCTTCTCCTCCCTCTTCCCATACTGGACCTCAGGGTTTAAGGAATTTGCCTATCAACACATATTAACACCATGGCAAAACCAGGGATGAAATACTTTGCAAAACTCACAAACGTAGAACATTGTTCTGCTTTCATCTCATATTCACCATACACATTTCACAAGAAATGAGTATGATGTCTTATAATAGCCCTCTTTCTTAAACCAATCTAATTTATTCTCAGGTAACCCTCCATCCTATGCATTAAGGATGGTTTAACATTATTAAATATAATAATTGCATAAATAGTAGAGTTTCTGGGATATAATGCATAGCTGTATTGCAACAGTAAATCTGTATTGTAACTATTTTCTTTGAATCAGAGGAAAATGGAGAGTTTGAATTAAAGAGTTGGTGTCAGTGTGGAGTGTACTGAGGGGGCAGTTCTTCACAGGAACAGTTTTTCTTTTTGACCTATACATGATCATAGCAGTATTTTCTAGGGAATGGATGAGGTGCAACTGTTCCCTACATGCTCCTTTTCCATATCACCACATTTAACACCTTTATGTCTCTCTCTCAGGACAAGCATGCTCTGTATATAGCACACCACTTCCTAATTCTAGCATATTGCATGGCTCTCTTCTTCTGCGTGATCAGTAGCTCCATTTGTTTATTCTTTTCTTCCAGTTTCAATACCAGCTCTTTGGTTTCTGTTGTGCCTCTAAGCAATCATGCTGTGAGTTGTTCTGCAGGAGTGGAAAAATCTTACAGAACATCTCACAGAACAGAGGTCTCCGCAGAACATCGCATAGTATTACAGCTCCATTGCTGTTGCTAAGATGTAGGCAATTTTAAGCACGGATCTGATGTCTGCTCTTGGTATCTCAGACAGGGCTGCTGCAGAGATTGAGAGACCTAACTCTGCCTTCAAAGTAAACTGGCTCCACTTTCTGACCCTTGTAATCTTTTTCAACAGTCCCTTTTCACATAATTCCGATGCAGATTTCACTGTTCCTTCCAACCAAGTCTCTTCCTTGCCCTCTACATAATCCCTAGTATCTCTTACCATCTCAACCTGCTCCTATTCCAGAATCTTTTAGCAACAAACACTGTTTCGCCTTCCACGGCTCCTAATGGCTTCCCAATCTCAAAAGCTTAGTCATTTCAGTCATATTTTCCCAGAATCTTGCACAGTCCCTTCAGCCTAATTCTCAGAAACAGGCTGAAACTGATTTAATTTTTCCATCGTTTTAGCTTTAGGCTGATGCTCAACAAGAAAGGCTTCAATCCAAACTAGTTCATTTTAACAAAGTGGAACAACTGCAAACAGGGTCTGAGATTAGTGCAGCTGATTGATACAACCTCAGTAACAGATATTGCAGTAGTTCTGCCTGCTATAGGACTAAAGAGACCTTGTAATAGCTACAATCATCTCTGCACTGTGAATGAATCCAAGCTGACTTTAATCAACTATCATTTAATCAAGTACTACACGAAGAGCCCAGCTTTGGCAGTCAAATAGTAGGTTAGCTACCTGATTACCCACCTTCTCAGAAGCATAGTGCTTTGTTCAGGAGGTCTCCCGTTTCTGTAATTCCCAGATCTAAACTATCTGGTTTATAAAGAGACATGGGCACTGCATTCAAAAAAGCAATCACTGAAATACATGCTCTCCATAGAAACACAAACACATTAATTATTTGCAATTTACTGTAACTTTTACAGTGTGTACAGCACAAAATACTCATGCTACTGAAACACACTTCCCTTCTTATTCTCTCCCCATCAAAGTTTACATGCTGTCTTCTCCCCCCATTACCAGAGCCTATCATCTACCTATGCTTCTCAGATCTTATAGCATACAAAACACATGGCTCAACCCCTCCTGTGTCTCTAGAAGCGTAAGTAGAGGATTTTTTCTTTTTCTTTCTTTTTTACCTGGTGAGCTGGAAGTACTGGGTGTGCAGTCACTGTCATCCAGCCACATGCTGTGAACCACTGAATCCTGTTTTGGAGGGCCCTCAAAAGAGCACATCAGCTCCTGGGGAGGGCAAAGAAGATGTATTTTGATAACGCACTTGGTAAAATCCGGGAGGGTAGCCTCTGTTTGTTAGAGATCATACACCCACCCTGTCATTCTCCTCTTCCTCAGATGTTTCAT